TTTCCATCTCTGATGCACGATTAGACCACCAAGATTCACCGTCTCTCTTCAGGCAAGCACGGAGTTCTTTGTGAGTTTTACTGTGTTCGTTTCCAGCCGGAATATACAGGCGAGCATCGATAAGTTCCAGAGACTGTGAAGAGACCCAGTGTCCATGTTGGCGATTAGACTTACCACATGAGGATTTGCCTGTTGCTATTAGGGTCTGGTAAATATGAGACCACTGAGCTTCAACTGCATCCAGTGAGCGTTTATCCAACTCGCATATCAGCGTACTTTGATAGGCATTCAGAACAACTGGCTTCGCCAGTTAGCTGGTGTCAATGCGGTCACAGCGTCGTCCTGGGCGTCCGCCTAAGCGCATCCGCAGGTCAGCACATAAAGTTCATTATCGGTGTCTACACATGCGCTCCAAATCGAGCGACAGTTTTGGGTGCAGCCTCTCCATCGGTAAGTTATCGTAGTGTGATCGATCTGCGTCCATAGCTGGTTCGATGCTGGTGGGCGCCAAGTCATCCTCCGGCGGGTGGTGTGTCGGAAATAAGTGCCTGCAAGAAATTAGCGAGCATCCTCACACAAATGAAGTAAACGCTCACCGTTATCATTACGGGGAGCCTACACCGTGTTGGCCGACCAGATGCAGCTCATCAGTGGATAATTTTCCAACCTGAATCTTCAGATTCCCAGCCGGCACTACGGTATCCGAGTTTCTTCTGTGGCTAAGGAGCTGAGTCAGTTGGCGTTAGAAGTTGCCTTTAACGTGTCATCGCTATAGTTTGTCGGTGCATAGGTAGCGATAACGTATAGACACCTGTTAGCCACTCGTGACTTCAATGCTTTGAACGAGCCAGTCAATCGGACCGCACACATCCGGCTACTGATTGGAATCCAATCAACCAGGGTAGCTTCAGCCCGGAGACTCATGGCTATATCAACACCAGTTTGGCCGGTGCTCGAAGCTGCATCGTCACCGGATAAGCATAATGAGAAAATGCTGCTAGTGTAACTTGAAGAGGATCGTAGAGTGAGTACAGAGCTCGAGTCTTGCAGGCGGGCCTCCGATAAGCAGCAGATATCGTTCGAGAGGGTCTCTAATGTTCGGGCAATTGCTGCCTGTTAACCGATCTGTAGCAATGTGCGTACATTGAGGCATGCCAATCTGAAGGAGGATCGAGGGCTCCAAATAGAAGCCGATGAACGGGTCTTGACCGCTTGCCTTTTCATTGGCCTGTTGACGGGACAGGAGTGACGCTCTGTTTTCACATGTGAGCTGAAACTAAGACGGTAAAAGCCTATCAAAATAAGGTGAGGGATGGCCGTGAATTGGGGGGTTGAAAACTGGGGGAATAAAATGAAGCTGAAACGGGACAATAAGGGTGCAAAAGTGTAAGAGTGGGAATAAGAAAATAAAAAGGCTTGAGCAGTAGCATCCAAACCCCTATCCACCCTGCTCGATGCAGCAGATAGGGCACTGTTGATTATCTTCTGCGGTGGCCATAGCATCAGAAATTTGTTTGAGGTGGGATTCATAGTATTACGTGGGCAGGATACTGTCAGGTTGCCCAGGCCTTGACAGGAGAACGATTAGCGTTCTCAACCAAAGCCTTTGGTTCAAAAACCTGACCGCGACGCAGCGGCGTTTTGGCACTGTGCTACAGAGAGCCCGTTTTAAGGAATATGAAGCCACCCTCATTCCAACCTGGAGGACCAGGAGGCTGGGTTTGTCTGGCCTCTAACCATTGAGCGATCTGGTATGAGTGGCTCTGAAGTTGCAAAAAGACGCACCATGCAGCATAGCTCAATGGATCACACGGAGGCTCACATACCATCGCACCACGTTAAGGTCCAGCCTCATTGCGATGGTGATCCAGCAAGAAGAAATGAACTATCCAACTATTCGGTTTCGTCATTCCACCTTTCTCCCCATGCCGTGGTGCACCCATTTGGCTGTGGATTTTCGAGGACAGGTTATGTGTTCTGGACCAGTGCCAGTCCGGTTTGACTTCAAAATGTAATATCTTTTAGGTTTTTGTACTCATTGTTTATCTATGCAACCACGATTGCCTGCCTCATGGCATGAAATTCACCACGTGGGTTGTTCGCTAATTTCATCTTCCTTTAGCACTATCTCTATTTTTTGACGCACGTTGTTTGAAATGTGTTTGTGCCCACATCTATGGTTGTAATACCTGGTTGGTGCGTTTGTGCGGTCTGTCGCTGCTGCACTCGGTTTCTTGCTTCTGGCTGGGAATATTTCATGAAGGTTCACTTCCCCTATTTTCCTTTGTCCACTTTTCTCTGGATTCTGCTTGAGTTCCATTTCATATTCGCCACCATTGTTAATGTTTGTTTTCCTTGTGGACGCTTATCCTGGAAACTGGATGCATCTCACTTTGGTGCCCGGATGATATTCTCTTAACTTATCTGAATTAGACTAATATCCTTCACAGCTCTTTCGGTTTTGTATGCGGTTCCCCAACGTATTTTGTAATTCATTGTGTTTTGCTGTTTTTCTCATGATTTTTATTTCTATTATGGGTAGTTACCCTTGTAAGTATCCAAAGTGCAGTGCTGGCCAAGGTATTATACATTTGTAGAACCCAGCAAACTGTTTTCATATTTCTTCACATTTCTCGCAAAACCAAATGATTTGACTGTAAACTGATTGTATTTTCCAAGAAAAGCATAACTCGATTAACATTTGTAAATGATCCTTGGGCAGTTTTCAAGGAGTTAACACGCAAAGGCATGAAGTGAATGAGTTTTTTTTGCAATGATTAGTCATGCTTTCGCTGCTTGCCCACTGCCTCACTGTAATTTATTTAATGTGCTGCTGCTTATTTGTAATAATATTTTACTCATCTAATTTTAGAATTGCCCATAAGTTCCCTATTGGATTCATGTCATGGCTACTACCAGACCATGGTAACATTTCAATACAACAGTTCTCAATAAAACGGGTTACTTCACCCGCCCAATGACATAGAGTACTGTCATGCATGAAAATGAACTCTTCCGTCCCTGTAAATCTGTTTTTCTTTTCCGGTTGACACAGCTGAGGGATCAGTTGGTGCTCTAGTAGTGCTGTTGAGTCATGCTGCCGTGGACGATGTAGGGCCGACTAGTTCCGTAGATGCTCAACACTCCATATCATGACCTGAGTGGGATGCTTGACTTGTTGAACGATACAGCCTTTCCTCATCTGTTCTCCAGGTTATTGGCAAATATGTAGAAATTTCTGTTAAGAGCACCGGATGATGCACTCATCATTAAAAACAACCTAAAATATAACACATACAGGCTGTTGAAAACGCCCAAGCAATGTAGGGCCAATTTTTCTTGAAAATCCTTATAAAAGTAAACCATTTGTTTTTTGCCCACTCCGTCGTGTTTCGATCATTTGTCAAGCTGTTTGGCCCATTCCTGCCGTTTTTCCTTCATTTGTTTGATCAACTTTTGCTTCTTCGGAGGTCTGCAACCTCTAAGTCCAGAATCCAAAAGCAGTTTTCTTACAGTTCTGAAACTTACTATAACACCATGCTGTTTTAGCATCCGTTGTAGCTGTATGCTAGATGTTTTGCAATTCTTTTGGCATTCCCTAATCAGAAGTGAGTCGTCTCGCGCTGTTGTTGCTCTTCTGCGACCACATTTACCACAGCGTTTTTAGGACAGGGGTAAATTATTGTGCAATTTCTTTCGAATTTTTAATGCAGACACCGGGCTAACGCTAATCTTGCTAGCCATTTCTTATCCTCTAACATCTATCAACAAAATTTTAATCTTTGCACGCTTTCCAAAGATTTTGTCACGTAATTTACCCATTAATATGCTAATACAATCTAGAAACTAGAGCAATACGGTTGTGTCGTTACTTGAGAAGATGCCTTGAAAAAGGTAATTAAATCTAAATATCAATTGATGCAAAACCAGGCGGATGTTATCCAGAAATGTAGACTGCAATAGTAACTAACAAATTATAATAAAAATGTAACATCGACCAGTTTGTCATCATTTACAATACTCATTCACTCCATGTTTTTGGATTTTTAACTCTGAAAATTATCAAAAAATCATTTACAGAATACTTATCTCGATGTATTTCTAATAACTGTTTTTCTTGTAAATTGCAATCAGTTTGTAGTAAAGATATGTAAAGAAATATGAAAATAACTTGCTGAATTCAATAGATTTATAATATTTTGACCAACACTGTATTACTTTCAATATTACTGGTGTTATTCTTGATGTCAATGATAAATATACCAATACCGAGGGTGTAGTATCGTTGTCGAAACTGCACACGTGCATCAGCTGCGAACTTTATGTGCTGCGGCGGATATCAGACGTCATTCCATGTTTCTTTATGTCATAATTGTAGCACTTTTTGGTCCTTTGAATAGCTTTTTCAAAATGTGGTGTATGCACTAATTGTGGCTATCTATCTAGGCAACTTCGCTTTCCTCGGCTAGCAAAACTGATTCGCATGGGATATTTTTTGCTATTTGCTTATTTGTGTTTCAATTCTAATTGTGTGAGGCAGCTGTTAGCGTTTTTAGCGCCCCGTCTCCTCTCAGCACTGTTAGATTGAACAGCCTTTGTGCCCCACCGTGTGCGTGGGATCGTGGGTTCATCGTTTGTGTTCAACACAACATTAGCATAAGCTAGATCACATCTCGAAACGTTTCACCACTGTTCTTCTTTGTGACAAGATTGTGTGGGTGTGGTTATACTGGCGCTTGTGGTGGTCCAGTTGACACACTTTCATTTGCCTCTTTCGGGCCGTGCGTGGATGTGTGTACACAGCTTTATCGTATGTCACTAAGATCCAATTAAACTAACTTACTGTCTGTCTTTCACATGGTATCCGAAGGTGATTTTTCAACAGTGTTGCCTCATCCCTTTCTGTTTCCTGATTCACTTTTTGTTACTTATCTGTGATTGGATCACGCGACATACAGTATTACATAATACCTTACATAGTACCTTTCTTTTCATCACAGATGCCTGGACTGATTTGGCGCGTTCATCCTCTACGCGCGACAAATTGGCCCGTAGTTTCGAAGGCTACTTATCGCAGGCAAATAAGTTTTTGGACACGGCACAGGAACGTATGACTGGTGAACAGGATATTCGAACCAACGAGGGCTTCATTAGGTCAGTATGAGTACGGCATTTTTCTTGTTCAGTTGTTGCTGACTTCTTCGACGGAAACACATCGTGGATTTATCCATTGCTTTTATAATATGCACTTAGTTTTCCAGCCACCTCTTATGTCAGCAACCAAGGAGATGACGATGGCCAGTACCACCCAGAGCAGTCGGTCGCTGTTTCAACTCACGTAATACCTGGGTCCCAAAGTTCATCATTCTATGAAATCGATTCGAAAATGACGCTAATTTAAGCGTCCGTTTGAACATTGTACGGAGCCCTTCTTCTGACCTGTACTGTTGCCATTTCTTGCCAGGCCTCCGAAGATTTAAGGTGCTACTATCTCATTAATATTATCGAATCCGACCTCCACTAGCGTTTTTCCTACAAAGCGAAACGCTCGGATCTAGCGATCTCAATTCCCGTAGTTTAAGAAGGGAAGTGATACACGTACTTTACAGCTTTAAATGGATCACCGAATAGGCACCATCAAATTGGTAAATATTATCAATCGGCTTTGGTGTTAAAGTGAGTTTGGGCATGTTATGTGAGCATCGTAAACGTTTATGCGATTGCGTCCACTGTTCGCATAGCGTCATTCTGTAGACAGTGATTGCACAACAGTGCAGTTTGATAGTTAACTCATGAACATTCACGTTGTGGTACAACAAAACCGCACTGAATGTGGGGAGACGGACGAGCAGTGGACACTTGTGCGAGTATAAATGTGCTTTTACTGCGGTTACTTCATCAGGTTTCTGCAGTATGGGACATGGGGCCAGTGTTGACTTTCATTCGTCAGTACCATAGGAAACAATTGCTTTGGTCTGATTCTTCCAAGCAGCCAACAAGCCAACGCAGAATAGCGCAAGACGGCCGTTTCGCCTCATCTGTGGTGCGCATCCTCCGGCTCCATCAGAAGCGGAACACACGACCGCTAGTAGCTTGCGTTACTAGCCGGTAGCTTATACCACCGAACCATAGGGCCACTGACTGACCGTCATAACGTGTATTCGAAGGCTGTTAGTACGTAGATGCTATGAGTGGAATTCGTGACCTCTGAAAGCCAACCGCTTTCCTTCGCAATGGTAGTAACCTGCGTGACAATGGAGAGTGCATCGCGCTCTGTTCCATTTACTCACTACTAAATGTCTGGATCATTTGCAGCGAGGTCACAGTATCAGGTGGCTGATTATCTGATCGAAGTCATGGGAATTTGCTAACTGTATCCGCATTCTCTCCGTTTGGTAGCTGGCCATGACAGTTGCAATGACCGTGCCGTTTTCTTTTACACGTATAAGTTTGGTTTTGTTAATCCCATGCATACCGTCTCCGCAGTGGCAAGCAACCTCACTCTTAGCCCATAGCTGTTCGTTGCTGGTGTTTTGCACGTTATCTGGAAATCACTTTGCTAATTCGATGTCTAATGTTGAGATACATGGTGATTTGTGATTGCTCTGCAATTTGTCCTCTCATTGTAATTACCGAGCTAATTCGGAAGGTAAGCTAGCGGTTTGCTTGTCCCTGTGGGTCCACGTACGTTGGACGTAGGGTAAAGGAATCAAGGGATATTCGAATTGGTTCCACAACCACAAGTAGAGGATAATTTACAGCACAATCCCGTTAGTAGTTGTCGAATTAACAGACAAGCCGATTTCCATATTCTGTATAAAATATCAGCACCGCACACTTATGGGCTAAGTGGGACACATGTAAAAGAAAATGGTGCAATCGTTGCAACTGTCATGGCCAGCCCCTAGATTGAAAGACATGAACATAGTCCGTTAATCCACTTGACTTCGGCCATACGATCAGCCACCTAAGGTTGGTCTCACTTTAAGTGATATACTAATTTGTTTTCTTTTTTCATCAACGAATGAAAACCAACATTGCTTCTCTGTTTATTACTGTATAAGCCTGACGGAGAAGTAATCAAAAATCGATTGTCTGCTTTTAGCTTGCTGTTTTGTTTTTATTTCTGGGATCGCCCATATGCGGGAATCTGGCATTTGTCTTTCATCCTGGTTGATATTGCTGCCGGATCAGACAATGCACTCTAAAGAAGGCGACTTGTATCGGTTCGCTAATTTTTGTAAAAACTACCATGAACTGCTGACGCAGCGGTGTCAACAAAGGTCGGCGTTTGAATACACCTTCCTTTAAACAATTGCTTTAGTGTCCTTCAAATGCCTTATATTGCTCACATGGTGGAATCGAGTTAAATCACAAAGGCGCAGTATATCCAGTTTTGTGGAATGCAAACTGTGAGAAATCACAGTTTTAAACAGCTGGGGGAGCAGACGAGGTGCTCAAACTTTCCTTTGTGAAGGAGGCCTATCTATCAGCTTGTTTGGATTTCTATGCTATTCGCTACCCTGTATTTTATTAGCTCAGCCGCGCGAACCATCGCAACTGACCTCACTACCCTTTTTGTTTTGACCATTTTTAACTGTCAAGTGGACCCTTATTTAAACCACTTCGGTTTCTGTGGACCTGGGGCGCAACACATTCGCACTGTTTTTCATACCCCAGCTGCCATTTATGATTTGTTTGCCCCCCCCCCCACACACACACACATTATCATGTCCATGAGCTTCGAGATTAGACAGCATCTACATCTACTGTGTGTACGCAGCAACATGCCTATTGTGCAAAGTCGATACTTGTCAACATGCTGCATCGGGTTGTGAAGTCCATGAATCACTCCTCCAAGCTGGACTCACATGGTGTGCACTCATCCACGATGCAGCTATGGGACCTGATATTGGACTGCTCTTGTTGAACATGTTCATCTTATCATTGAACTCCCGTTACTTCCTAGAGCAGTGGGAGATGTGGTTTATCATTTCTCATCAGAGAGGTGACCATACACTGAACGACCTGTCACATTTCCATGGTCGTTAACTTGTTCGGTGACTATTGTATCAAGCATTTGGGGGTTACATGCAACTTCCAGTCTGTTTATTTTGGTGAACAATCTTACGTTACCTATCTGTTGCGTGTTTCGTCGGCCCCAGTCATGCTGCTGCGATTCTCTTAAGCGATCTACGTAAGCTGCTTCATCGAACACACCACCAACTTTGTCAGAAGCGAGGTCTTAGGATTTCTTGAGTGGTCATTCCTTTTTATTTTAAAGGCAGCCATTATTCCTTTTGTTTCCAGTGGTTTTATCCCCACATGCCCATTCATTCATCTGTCTAAGGTTAACATTAGCTATCCTTCGAAGTTGGTCGGCCTTTTTATCAATTTGTATCTTCGGACTTGTCTGTTCGTTTAAGCGTGGTGAATTGCAGAGCATCCCATCGCTCATACTATTTCATTGAGGCAATGTGCAATACGTGAATGGTGAAGCTCTCGCCATCAATTGAAGCACCATGTCTTACAGCTATTCGGTCATTGAAGGATCTGTTAGTCTTATGCCACACTGCTGGTTACTCGCAACCCCAGATTCGGGTGTTCCTTCACCTTCACTTTTCCAGAGAAGCTCAGTGTCAGTTAGCGCAGCTTGACCGTGTGACAAGCACAATCAACTATGTCCGTACAATTTCTCTAGTGACTGTGCTTTCTGAATTCCTCTTGTATGGTAGCCCTCGAAAAACCGGCGAACTATTACCAGAGACCCTACAGCAGTTGTTTACCATAGGTCCATCTATTAAGATATCTACAAACATATATCCGGGGCGTCATTAGACCCGTTAGTTTGAGCCCATTTGATTGTGACGATTGAAGCATAACTTGATGTCTCAATGTGCCCTGTTACATCAAACGGCTTACTTTTCGCTTGCATACACTAGGATTGTAGCATGGTTCTACTCGAGAGTTTTTGGGCAATGTTTGTACACTGGTTGCAGCAAAGAGCCGAGCAAATAAGTGTTCCAACTCCTTCCTATCATCCATACTTGTTATTCTGTAGTTTAAGCTGCTAAGTTCAATCAGGTAGTATGAGAGTGCAGCAAAATTATGCTATAAACTCGATAACTAACTTCATCTGATCAGGACTGTGGTCATGTTCTCATCTGGAGATTCGTTTGAGAAATTGCTTAAACGGGGACCGAAATATCGAGGGAGTAAAAGTTACTAATATTCACATGGAATAAGCACCTCTAGTTGTTACCAGGTACCCATCGACGTGAATCGACGCCCTCCGAGTCGCAACTGTGACGATATTACTTCAACAAAGACAAAGGCGTGTTGCGATGCCAATGAGGCTTTCTACCCCCGGTCACCATTTGATTCGTGCGGTGCGAGCGCTAGCCAGGAAATGACTTATTCGGATCCACCTTTATCACGGCTCGCCGCGTACTACAAAGTTGCATTGATTTTACAACTCACCCAAATCTCTCTTCCCACAGGCATTTTAAGTACGCAGAATGCACATACAAAATCTGTGTTTGTAACCGTTCACTTCGGAATGCTCGAGCTCTATTTCAGAGTGAGCCGTAGTCTAAGTTGAGCTTACATATCGCAACTCCCCACCCACACACCAGGCTCTCCAAACACAAGCTGTGAATACCCATTATTTGTTATTAACATTGTTGTCACGCACTGTTGGTCGGTTTATGGATATTCGTTTTGCTAACTGGACTTGTTGGTAACGTTATAGTCTGACGTACTACCGGGTCGTTTTTCGTTTCAACTTCTCTGGTTTTTCGGGGCATCATTTGACGCTTTTCTCTCTGATTGCCACCGTGCATGTTTGGGTATGGAGATTCAAGGCAGAAAGTGTTATTGAACTTTATGACCCGCACGATCTTCAACAAATTTGTTTACATTCGTATGGTCATTATGGCGTCTGACGAACCGCATTCGATGGTTTTGATGACAAACCACCTTTTCTTGTGGCATCCATAAAATCGAAATGCCACGTAGGTTGACAAAATGGTCATGTCGTAGGCAAGGGTATCTATAATGATAACCTCTCTGCTTATCGCTTTTGTTATTGTTGACCTAACCAGCCAAAATAGACAAGCGACAATCTAATTTACATTTGAATCGCCATATCCTCCCGGGTATAGCACACTGTAGTCCGGCGTAACTTGATATCCTTTTTTCAATTACGTAAACATTACCTTAACTTTGCCCACCGATTCCGCCGTATCTGCTCACCGCCGCTTCGCTTGTACCGCAGTTTTCTCACTGAGTTAACCAATTCTATCCTATTTGCTGTGTTTTGGGTCGCTTTCGGCAAGTCCACCATGTCAACTTCGAATTTTTATTTCCATAAGTTTGGTTGAGTTGTTTCAGTGGTTTGTGCGGTTTCTTGTTACTTCTCATTCCCATTATTTGTATCTCCTCTCCAAAGATCGATGGAATTCCGTCTCTACGGTCTCATCGCTTTGCTCTGCATTCCTGTGCTCATCTTTCTGCTCGTCTACCTGGGCCTGTGTTTCGGCACCTGTGGCCATCGGCCCTACGAAGAGGCCGGAGTGTGCAACCGTGGTGTTGGAGCCAACCTATTACTGGCGTAAGTCATCTTCGCAGGCTTCGTTTTTTATCGCACCTTCGAGTGCCACTGTTTCTTCATCCACCGATTTTTGTTTGTAGTGAATAATTAATTGAGAGGTCGTCGCACAAGCTTCCGAATCGGATAGTCCTCCGCACGCCCGGAAAAGCACTAGGCTGCATTTTCAGCCATTTGGGTATCATCCTTAGTGCGCATCCATCGGATCCTTCAGGATTCGAACCCATAACGACCAGCGGCTTGCACCAGCAGTCAACAGCTTATGCCACTGAGCCGCAGGGGACCGTGTTGGACCATGAGTTACAAGCAAACTGCGATGTTGCGCATCTTATCCTCCATTGGCATCCAAGCTACGAACGTTGCAGAGTACAGGATTGGCCTCGGAACACACGACGCCCACTAACAATAGCTGTGGATCACATAGCATTTGAAAACTGTTAGGGCGGATATATTTTGATTTACTCACGAGTAGGGGCTTTTCATGGAATTACTTGAAAGTTCGTCACACCAGCTTCCAAATCTGACAGTCTTCCACATGCCTAGAAAAGAAATTGCTTTCGTATCAGCTTCGATTTGATTTGCAGCACTGACTCCCACTCAAACCATTTGCCTCGAGTTGATTGACCACCTCAGGGCTCATTAATGATGTTGGAGTAAAATTGGAGAATGGGAGAACGCTGACATGCATATGTTTCATCCTAAGTCCGGGTACAGTGAAGTAGCGTAAGATTTATCCAATGTCAGAGTTAGCAGCGTCACTGGGTCAGTTGCAGTATTGTCATTGACTCCAAGCTTACAGCTTGCCCACTTTGGATACTAGCGGCAGTATGATGGACTTCTTGACGGTCGTTCAGGAAGCTAGCGAGTCTTGCAGAACTCTGTCCTTCCGGGACAAGCTTTTACTCGGTAAAGTCATCTTAGCTAAAACTACCGCACGTATGACACGCCGAACTCTTTGATGCAGATTGTCCGTTCACTTTCGTAAACAGTGACCTTTATGAGCGATGATGTTCCTCCTTTGACTCAATTCAAAACAAGCCATGAGGAATCCAAGGGAACCTTAGCCAATCTGTGCCCAGTGATTGAATCTGTTATGTACCCTCCCCCCGCACACACACGTTAGCTGAGGGTGTGAAACATACCTCAGCTAAGTTGCTAAAAATTTACAATACAAAGAATTAAAAAGGCAAGTAATATAATGTTAAATATTATATTATGCATTTTGCATGAGATCGTACTTGTAGTGGGAATGTAAAGGGGAGGGGTGAACAAAGAGACTCGCAACACAAATGTCATTGGAGTCGGCTCTTCGCCATATCAGCAGATGTGTCTAACCGAACATGCTCATCGTCCTAAGGATCCCAGTCAGGCAGTCGGCATGCACCAACCGACGCCAACTTCGAAGTGAGGGTTTTCATTTCTCTCGCCCAAGGCATCGCTTGACCTCTCCTCCTCCGCTTCTAACCGCACTCCCGGGGCGCAAACAATGCACGTCGCGGGAGTCGGTGCACTGGCATACGCAACACGTGGCCCAGCCATCAGAGCCTAGTGCGTGTTATAATGGTGTTGAGCCGTTCACTAGCTCTTCCTGCACCAAATACGCGACGTTTAATACGCTCATTGCTCACGCGGTGCTCCCACCAGACATGAGATAAACTGCGAAGGCAGCGATGGTCAAACGTGACCAGCCACTTTATGTCTGTCGACCTGATGGGCCAGTCTTCACAGCCGTGTAAGAGGATTGAACGGACGGCTGCATTTTAAACTTTGCTCTTCAGGGCGTGAGTAACGTCGTGTCTGCGTCACAGGTGGCGAAGATTTACGAAACCATCTCTGACTTTTGCTATACAGTTCGTAACCTCATCTTCGTTCCCACGGGCGCTAATATAGCTGCCCACGTACTTGAATTCCTGAACGACTTCTAGCTGATCACCACCAAGAGTCGGCGCAGGGACGGGCCCCTATCAATCTTAGAGGGCTTTGCACTTCAACGGAGCAATGCATAGGCTAAAACGATTGACAGCTAGTGCTAATCAGTCGAGCGCTGTTTGACACCTTTGGAAGTTGTCACAGATAAAGGCAATGTCATCCGGATATTCCAAGTCAAGAAGTCGCTCACCAGGAAGTAGTTCCACACCTAGGTTGTGTCCAGTGAACGCTGCTCCCATGACTTCGTCAAGGGCAAAGTTAGAGAGGTGACAGCGGGCAACATTCTCTCACGCCGCTGTAGATATCGAAGGCCGGCGACAGTTTGCCATAAATCGTCACTCTGCCCGAGCTATGCGCGTTCAGCGCTCTGATAATGTTTACGTATTTATCGGGCACACCTTTCCTCAGCAGACAGTCCGAAAGACCACATCGATCCATTGGATCGAAGGCACATTTTATGTCGACAAACACGACTACGGTGGGTCGGCAGTAAACATCGTGGTGCTTCAATAATTCACGCAAACTGAACTTGTGATCAATGCAACCATGACCTCGACGAAACTCGGCTTGCTCTTCACGAATCCAACTTTCACCAGTGCCAGTCAATCGTGGAGAACGACAGACGCAAGCAATTGAGAGGCACTTGAGATCAGACTGATCCTTCATTCAGAACAGGAGCCTCACTTGAAAATTGGGACAATGACGGAGCGGCTTCAATCTGTCGGGACAGTTTCTTGCTCTCACAGTTTCACTGGTAATTCGTATAAATCATCTACAGGAGCAAACTCCGCGAATTTGAAGAGGGCTGGGGGAATTCTCTCTGGCCCTACAATTTCATCAGTCTGATCTCACGTTAGACTTCTGTGCTTGAAGGCGGATCCAGAGAGACGGCCCAGGGAGAAGGGCGCTAATATCTGAAAAAAGTGATAACTCGGATTGATTAAATTATCTTGCAGTGTTCGGCCCAACGCTCCATACTTTTTGATTGGCTACGGTTCGGCTATTTACTTTCATCGTATATGGTCTCGCTAACATCAGGTCTCCTGCTGCCTGTTTCCCATGTCAAACCAAATAACTTACGATGATTACCCATGGCAATGGCTCTTTCTCTCTCTGACGCACAATGAGACAACCAAGACTCGCAGTTTCTTTTCTGGCTAACGTGCAGTTTTGCCCTAGCATCTTTGTGATCGTCGTTATATTCGCTCATAGCCGGAATGTTTCGGCGAGCATTAAGTAGTTTCAGAGACTGCTTAGAAACCCATCGCCATGACTATTAATAGGATTTGTTTCATGAAGACATGCCTTTTGTTGATAAGGTCTGATGAACATGTAACCAGTGATCTTCAATTGTGTTCGGTGTACTGTTGCTCTACCCAAATGCCACCGCACTTTGATACGCATCCGGAATATCTGGCTTCGTTAGTTGATTTGTGTCTAGGTGCTCACGGCGTTGTCGCGGGCATCCACCGAAACGCACCTCTACATCGGTACAAATAATGCATGACTGGGTTTGGCCGGTGCTTTAAGTTGATCTGCAGATTTAGGCACAGCGCCTTCAGGGTAACAGATCGTTATGTGATGGATTTGCCCCCAACGACTGTCAGACTTTAGTGCTCGCGAGAAATAGACGAGTGGTTTCACCTAGACATAACAACTACTCATCCTTCGCATTGCGGGGGCCCAGGTGGCCTTGGCCGCCCAGATGCAGCTTATCATTGAGTAATTTTCCAATTCCAACGTTCGGATTACCAACCAACGCTACCGTATCCAGGCTTTTGCAGTGACCTAGTAGCTGGTTCCTTTTTCACCTTCAGCCGAGTCAGCACTACAGTTTATTATAATCATGGGCAGCCATGGTAAACAGGTATCTATTGGCATCACGCGACTTCCATGATTTGAATGAAGCCACTAGTTGAACGGCGCACATCCGTCAACTGATATGGATCCAGTCTACCAGATCAACTTCATCCCGGGAGCTCAGAATACTGTTCACATCGGCTTGAACATCATTCGGTACTGCATCATCTCCAGACAAGCACAATAAAAAGTGTCACCACTGTCGCATTTGGATGATCGCTGGGCGAGCACAGAGCTCCAATCTTACCGTCGAGTTTCTGAATTATACCTGTCGATGGTTATTATCGCTTGTGTTCATGCAAGTGCTGGCTGTTGGCCGAGCTGTACCAAAGTACGTATTTTGAAGTATGCCACTATTTACGAGGATCGCGAGCTCAAAATAGAAACAGGTATACTGACTTTGTCCGCATGGTTGGATATAGACTTATCGACAGGACATAAGTGTCGCTCCGCTACTGTGTGAGTCGAAGCTAGAGAACAAGTGCTAAGCGGATGGCCATGATTTGGCTAGCTGAAAAGATTGTAGCCAAAGGTGAGGTGGGTAATAAAGATTAAGAAAAAGCCCAAGAGGCGGAATGAGAAGATGGAAAGTCCTGAGTAGTAGAATCCCCACCCCTCTTCACTCCGCTCGGTGTAGCAGATAGAGCGCCATTGATTATCCTGTGTAGCCTCCATATCGTCAAAAGATTATGTGATGGGCTTATCATTGTATTGCACTGGCAGAATGCCATTGGACTGTTTACACTTAGACAGATTAAGATTCCCAACAAAATCATTTAGTTTAAAGACTCTAAAGCACCGAGACAGTTTTCTACATGAGGTCTGTTTTAAGGAATAAGGAACCAACCTCAATCCAGCGTAATACTTTTGCCCGATCTCTAACCATTGACTGATCTGGTATGATTGGCTCTGTAGGTGCAAACGCACCTCCTAGCATAGCTCTATGTATCATGGTGGCACGCAAACTATCGCTCCACGAAAACATCCAATTTCATTGATAGGGTTCTGTTTTACTTATCTGTTGTGCACAATGCTACCATCTCGTAGTATGTCACTAAATGAAAGCCCATCAGTTTCGTTACAAGCCCAGTAGACTCGTCAAACATTTCTGCTCATCTTTTTCTTCAGAGGAGTCGGTTTCATATTCCTCTTCTCCACTGTGCTCATGCTGTTTTGCACCGTACTGTTCTTGATTGGCGGTCCGTTTCAAACAGAGGTGTGCCGTTATTTGACCGGACGTATCCCTGATGGACCACATCAATTTGATAACTTCATCTTCGAAAGCGCGCGTTTTGTGATCGAAAGAGTCAAACGTGATCATAAACTGATGCAACAATTAGAGGAAGCGAGACGTGCTAATGATCCCACGCAGTCTTCTCGCGTCGAGTCTAAGGTGGAATTGGGCCCATTAGAGGTGATAATGAATCTCACCCGCGCTCATCTGGCCGAGGTAGTTCTGACGCGTTGCAGAGACGAGTCGTTTGTGGACGCGATTAGTGGCTATCAGCTTTCTTGGCCTGTGTTGTCTGAGGTGAGCACGCTCTGTTATCATCACAATAAATTGTTTTATTCGGTGAAACCGGGCTATTCATTTCGCCTAGTTTTAGTTGTCGCTTGATCTTCCACCGTTTTCTTTCAAATTATGGTCAATTGTTTCTCAGTTCATTGTGTTCAGGCCATACTAAGCCAATCGCATGTGACAGCTTTCATGTTGCGATTTCATGCACTGTTTTTCCCCACTGACACTTTCGTTATTAACCTATCTGTGTCCTACACATGGATTTACAGTCATTTTCTGTACATTTAGCATCTTCGCATTCATCTTTTTCCACCTGACGAAGCGGTAACTGAAACTACTCCGTAACCTGAGCGATCATTGATGTATCTGTTGCCACATTCGACACAGCACCAGCATTTCGTTTATGTGCCTTGTACACGCATAACCTGCTGCAATTGTAGAAAAGTATAGGAACAGCAGTTGTAGTCCACCAAAGATGTTGATAAGAGTGTAGGTGCCTCTAGCCGTCATACTTCGCGGTTCCTGATGGTGTCCCTAGCGTCGGGAGAACTTCCGCAAGCTGGGCTTTCCACAAGTTCACCTTTCCATGTGAAAGTTTCAAGTGGTATTATCGAGTGTCCTACGAGAGTCCAAAACAAGACTGGTCGGCGATCATTCTTCCTTATCCAGAAGCCAGTGCAACATAAATTCCAGGTGATATTTCGCTGTTTCAGTTTTTCATTGTTATTTGCCGTCGTCTGCTTATGTTCATTGGTCTTCACACTCCGTTCGTTCGCCGTGATCGGTCCAACCTACGCCAACGGTTACGTTGAGTATGGTTCATGCCAAGACGCATTAATTCTGCATCGTTCAGCTAATCCATGCAAACTTAATCAGGACGCACGGGTGACGTCTGATTCACCTACCGTCCTCACAGCAGGTCAGCTACCATTGCACCTCTGGGAATGTTCAACTATTCTGCCAGATAAGGAGGTGATTTCATTAGGATTTCATGTTAAAAATGGCATTTAACTGTCATTTATCGCACTAATTTTCCGTCTAATTACTAAAATTCCCAGATTTCTGCTCCACGGAGCGATATCCCGAGTTTCGTAGATAAAGGATAAAAATCCGTTTTTGGCCGAATTTTTCAACTGTTTTTATCGGAGCACATGTATATGCTTATTAAGTTATATGCAACCACTTGTACACACTTTTTCACGTTAGTAGCCGTTCGCTCACCAGAAACCTCCGTTCTAATCATTTTTCATCTATTGCTTCCCCACACTAATCTTCGCTTAGTTATAGGCATGGCAGAAATCCAATCAGCTAACTTAACATTATTGCAAGCTATGGGGCATTGTGCGCTTGTATAACGGGGACAATTTTATTTTCATCTGATTTTTTAAACAAGGCGAAATTGGCAGTTGTTGATATTTCGTATTGTGTTGTCATTGCTCATGAAATAACAGGAGAATATATAAAAAACAGCTAGGATGTGACCAGGTGAGATAGAGCCATGTGCCAACCCGTACGTCCATGTGAGCCCTGGGGTTACGAACAGCCGTTTTTGCACATAGAGTGCAGGTTCGATCCGGTTGCTCGCGACAGCCTTGACAGAACGCGGGAAGCAGGTGTTATCATGTCTCAACTAAATTGTGAACCTTGTGGTAGGGTCAAGTGGATGACAAGTGGCCAATCAGTGACTAACTATGAATGAGGCAGGCGGCTTTCGTGAACCGGTGATAAGAGAAGCGTAAGACAGTGATTCCACGCTGTAACCACCTAGGCGCATGTTCCTTCGCTCCGTAGCTCAACACACTATCGGCACGGCCGATGTGGCATGCTCCGCTGGTTGGCGGAACGCTGCTCTGACCACCCAGCCTAGGCTTGTTAACCGCCTGTGTTTTCACTCTCTCTTGTCCTAGACAATCCGGTTCACTCTTGTCGGCGACTGCGGTAGGCCGGGTGGGTTCTATCGCATTTCCTCGACCTATATGACGGTCAGTTCGCGTGGACGATGTTTCATTGGCGTCCCGTCCATTTGTCTCGGGTCAGTTTCCTTCAACCGGGTCTCTAAGAAATATAATTGAATAGTTGCAGTGACAACTATATTTCCCTCGCAAATTGGTGTAGCGCATGTGCCTCTGCTCGTGCCACCTGCGTATTACTCGTTTGGCTACTGACGACTATTCGTCCTAATCCATGATTGCTTATCCCCGTACAATTTAGGAGTGGTCATCATCACCATCATCATCATCAACAGCAGTACATCAGCCATTTGAACTGATGCTTCGCTGGCCTGAGGACCTATGAAATAAAGAATAAGAAGAGGGAGAGAAGGAGGACTTACCTGTAAACCTTAATACCCTAAGCAAACATTCAGGGTCAAGTCGCCTACACCTTGTATAGACAACATACCGTCACAAACAGCTGGCTATCGTGCAAAGGCGGCATCGGCGAGACAGCCTCCTTGCGGCTTTCAATGCCCCGCATCATAATCAGCCATTAACCCGCAGATAACATAGCACCAAACACATTTTAAACAGGCAATCCGATTAGGAGACGGCAGCAAACGCGCCACGGGTGTCTACTGCGAGCCATGTCCTGTAAAGTGGCGAGCCAAGCAGAAGGCGAGTCACGTGGACTCCAGTCCGGAAGGCGAGACGGACTAAAGGCAGCCATTTTTGTCGTCAGTGTCTTCATTTCCCGCTGCCAAGTCATTTTCTGTCCACCCTACACCTGGTAGACTGAACAAGGCCCTCCTAGGTAAGCGGTGACCAGGCATACGTAGCACGTGCCCTAGCCAACGCAACTTATTCAGTGCTATCTGTTGTTCTAGAGATGATCAAAGACTTGAAGGCCCTTTGGATCTTCAGAGAGAAGGTCCCAAGTCTCACTCCCATAGATCAGAACGACCCTCACTGTGGCCTTGTAGGCACGGCCTTTCAGACGGAAGGAAACTCTTCTTTCGCCAAAGATGCCGCAGGTTCAAGAAGGCAGCTCTGACCTTTGCAATGCGTGAACTGACGTCAGTTTCTATGCGGCCATCGTTGCTGATGCGCTGCCTAAATAAGTGAATTGATGAACCACCTCGAGTTCCTCGTTAGCAAGCGTCAAGAGGTCATCGAGTGGCTGGTGGTCCTGCAGCAACACTTTGCACTTTGAAGGTGCGAAGTGTATACCAAATATTGGGATCAATCTAGACAGGCTATTCAGGGTTGACTAGGCCGCCGCAATATCGTCAAAAAGCAAAACGATATCGTCCGCATAATCTAGGTCAACTAACCTTTCACTGGAAGCACTTCAACGCCTACATCGTGAGATTCCGTGAAGGAATACTCCATTAAGGAGTCCACGACGAAATTGAACAAAAATGGGGAAATCGGACAACCTGACGAATGCCACTTGTGGTCTTAAAGCTATCCGATAGGCCACCGTAGACCCTGCCGCGGCCTGTGGGGTTCGAGTATAGAGCACGTACGATGTTCACATATTTCGTGGGAACACCTTTCCGCGCAAGTATTTCGAACAGAATCGATCGATCGACTGAATCGAACGCACTCTTGACATCGAGGAACACAGCTATTGTCGGTCTGCGGTATGCGTGGCGCTGCTCTAGCACCTGCCGCAAAGTGAATATATGGTCTATACAGCCACGTCCTGGGCGTGAACCGGCCTGCTGTTCCCGAATCCGAGATTCCCGTTCCGCAGTGAGGCGACGAACGAGAATCGAGGCCAATAATTTTGTCACAACTGGCCTTAGACTAATACCCCTGTGATTAGAACAGTCTGTGCGACTGCCCTTCTTGTGTATTGCCACTATATGCGATTCGCTCCAATCAGCCGTTACACTCTTTGTTTCAGATACATTCGAACAGGGAGGTCAGTGCCCTGCAGAGGACCTTACCTCCATCCCTAAATAGTGCAGGTGGGAGGGAATCCGGGCCAGCGGCACGCAAACGATTGAGGGCTGTGATCGCATTTCGGACCTTGGCCTCCGACGGAGGCTCTAAACTAACCGTCCATGGCTCGTCCTGCATCACTTGAGTAGGAAGTGGTCCGAGAGCAGGGGGCCAGCTGAACTGATCTTTAAAGCGTTCCGTCCAGCGAGCCATACGGCGCTCCTTATTGTGTATCAGTGCACCTGCGCTGTCTCTGATTGTCTCACTGACGCCTGGTTTTCTGGGACAAGTGGTGCTGATTGGCTGGAAGAGTTTGCGGTAATTGCCTACTGCTCCTGCCTCCTCCATTTCTTGAGCCTTACTGGTCCACCAGGCTTCCTTGTCAGCACGTAGACTCCTGTTTAGTTCGCGACTAATAGCCCGTCCGGTCACATTGTGTTCAGAGCCAGCCGGGAGGTGTCTTCTAGATTCCAACTGGTTCACCGACCTCTCCGACATCCATTGACTGGTGCGGTGCTGAGTGAGAGTGCCACAAGCAGATGCTCCTGCGTCGTGCATGGCGGCCGAGATCCTATTCCACTGAAGCTTTGTGTCATTAGAACAAGACTGCGAAAGTTCGGTATGCCGAGAGTCTTGATAGACGTCTGACCGAGGGCTGAGACAATTTCTCAGTTGCCAATCGGAGTAGACGCTTGGTGCGCCTCCCGGTAAATTTCATGGAGAAACGACAGCGCACCAAGGCATGGTCAGAGTCGATACAGGTACTCCAGTACGAGCGGCAATCCAGGATGGAACCACACCATCTGTAACTTATGGCAATGTGGTCAATTTGAGTCCATCGCTGGCCAGCTACAGGAGGACGCCAAATGGCACTTCGGCGACCATTGTTTCTAAAATCAGTGCTGCTAAGAAACAACTGGTGCTCCACACACAGTTGCAGCAGACGCTCGCCGTTGTCAGTCCGTTCGAAGTTAAGCCCATAATTACCACCTTGCTGAGCTCCTGAAGAGCTCAGATGCCCTACTTGTGCTCTCATATCCCCTGCAATACTATGATATCTGAACTAATAGCACTGCGTAATAGAACGTTCAGTTGTGATAGAATGTGTACTTGACAACATTTGAACTGCAGCCGGCGAGAGCATTAACGGAAATCACAAACAAACAGCGTTTTGCACTAATTCGTGAATCAGCCTTAGCTGATATCGTCAAACGAACTGCACATAAACGGCTGTTCACCGGAATCCAATCAACCAGCGATGGCTCAGCCTTAGAGCTTAGAATGATACGTACAGCAGCTTGACCTGTGAGTGCTGCATTGGCGTCTCCGGATGCGTGCAACCAATAACGAGCGGATTATGGGGGTGCAGTTAATTCAATAACCTCGTTAGGGTCATTGATCCTAGTTTCGGACACGCAACACACATCGATACCCAGTGTGTCCAAGGTGCGTGAGAGTGCAGCCTGTTGACCTATTTGTCTTATAGTGCGAACGTTGAACGTCGCCATAGAAACGGGACAGCGTGGCCTTATAAGGGACTTTTGCCGATAGATACGGTGGGATAGTTACTGCAGATGGTTCTACTCCAGTGACACATCGGTTGTTTTAAATTATGCTGGGAATTATGGAATGATGGTTATTAATAGGGGTCGGGATGGGAGTGACAGAAACAGGTGGAAAAGAAAGAAGGGAGGCGCCAGCAGTAGCATGTTTTCGCTTATCCGCCCTGCTGTATGCAGCAGATAAAGCGACTTTTGATAATCTGCGCGACAGCCGATGCAGGATGAAGCTTATGATTGAAGAAAATGTCATGGTTGTATGTGGGTTGAGATACTGCCAGGGGTCCCAGACCTAGACAGATGGACGATTAGGGTCCCCATCCAAAGCCTTTGGCTGAAAAGCCTGTCCGCATGGAAGCGGGGAGGTGGCAATGATTTAGTTTCACAGAAATGGACGCCATCCCATTTCAAACCCGCAACCTGGAGGACCAGGAGACTGAGTTTGTTTGACCTCTCACCATTGGCCGATCTGGTATCAGTAGCTCTCAAGGTGCCCGGAGGCCTCACCCAGTATAGCTCAATGGGTCAATGAGGTGCGCAAACCGTCGCACCACGTTAACGTCCAGTCTGATTGCGACGGATTTAGGAGTGGTAGAGAGCAATGGGGTGCGACAGCTCACAGACGTACCACTTTGCGCTAGACAAATTAGTTTTGATTGTCAGTCGTTTCGGGCTATGCTTTGCTCCAGCTAAATGCAAAGTTCTCCAAGATTAACACAGACGTACTCCTGCATTGGCTCTTGGCGGTGATCATCTAGAAGTCGTCAATAAATTCAAATCTCTTCGTAGCTGTGTCCGTGCCAGTGGAACGGAACGTGAGGTCTCGAATAGAATACCAAAACTTTGATGCGCTTTTGCTAATCTCCGCCATCTGTTACGTAGGCGTGATGTTACTTTTACTCTGAAGGGTAGAGTTTACAATGCAACCGTCCAGACAACTTTTCTGTACGGTTGCAAAACTTGGCCCATCAAGTCTGCAGACATAAGGAGGCTAGCTATGTTCGATCATCGCTGCTTTCGCAGCTTAGCTCTTGTCTTGTGGGAGCACCACATGTGCAATGAGCATGTTCGGTGCTGCGTGTTTATTAGAGGAAGAGTAATTGAACTGCTCAGCACCAGGCTCCGATGGCTGGGTCACGTGTAAGACATGCCAGCCCACCGACTACCGCGAAGTACATTGTTTGCGCGTCGGGGGTGTGGATGGAAAAAGGAGGAGGGGAGGCTAAGCAATGTCTTGGTCAAAAGGAATGAAATCCTTCACTTCGAGCTTGGTGCCGGTTGGTGTTTCCCGACTGTCTGGCTGGGGACCGGAGGATGATGAACACGTTTGGTTAGACAAGCTTGCTGATATGGCGAAGAGTGGACTTCAATGGACTCTGTGTGGTGACTCTCTTTGTCCCTCCCCTTATTTTTAGTTTCCCCCTCCAACAACGATCACAAATATAATATTAGCATCGCGTTACTTTTTTATAGCTTTTAAGTCTACATTGCTTAATATCTTCTCTTTTTGTATTGCGGCACATTAGCTGAGGTGTGTTTCTTTCCATCGGCTAACGTGTATTGATGACGAAAACTTCTTTGGTTACGATCTAAATAATCGCCTGGTTCTTGCACTGAAATCCCTTTTGTGACATAATGTGAAAGCCACGAAAATGTTGCCGGTTATAGTGTCTATACACTGTCTTATGAGACATCAGCTGCAGAACTTTGTTAGCTCACCTGTATGTAGGCGTGTTGCAAGCCATTTTGGTTCTGTTTCCACCTTCCCCGGTGTTTCACTGAATCACGTTTCTGTGATGCTGGATGCATTGTGTGTGTGTGTGTTCGTTGATCGCCTTGCTCGGCGTGCATTATCTGCTGTCGCTGCACCAAGTTGTGCGAAATCACGGGTGGTCATTTGAAGCCGTGACATAAATAAACAGAGACTTAGTCAGGCTAATGCATGCCGACTTCGTGGGTTGGAGTCATCGGAATGGTCCACACCAGCGGTTGTAGACCCTATCAGACAAGGTTCAGTCGCGCGATAAGTGGCGCTCTAGCATTTGATTTTTTTGCTCTTGGCTGTTCCTGTTTCACTCGACTAGTTTTACGCATTTACCATTTGGCTTCACCTTTTTGGTCTGTCTGCGTTCAGCCACATTTTCTCAACATTGCTACTTACTTTATCCCGGGGATGTGAATCGTGGCAACTGGATCCACCGGGACGTTGTTGTTTTACTGAACTCAACTTATTTATAATGTCTATAAGTATGAGTATATTTCTCGAACTCTCGGGAGGCTATGCCCACAGAAACACAGATCAAGTTTTACAGATGTGTTCACGTTGACACATAGCACGGGTGACCCATTGGACAATGAGAGTAAGCCGTTGGGAGCGACTGGGGTGAGCGCAGTTTCACTCCAACACGTTCGAATCTCGGGATCAAGATATTTGCTCCCTGATGTCCAGGCAACACTCAGTTAAAGACACCGCATATGGGAGAAAAAGTATAATAATCGAAGGCCCTAAACTTACAGACCTATGTTTTACGCAAAGCATAAATGCAAAGCTAACTGAAAGCTGCGCCAAGGTGGCTAACACGCTAGATTAATTAATGAAGCATATTCGATTACCAGGGGTTGTAAACAAACATGGCAAATGTGCTTGGTGCAATGTACTACCTATTTGGGTGTGCACTTGAGTAGTGCATCAAGAATGACGACAGCACTTGAAGGCAGTGTATCTTCAGCGAGAAGAAAAGTTACATTGTGTGCTAGAGACGATTTAAACCCAACTGAATTGGAAGCTGGCTAGTACTACTGGTTGCTGCGCGTAACGCTCAACTATGCATCTTCAGCCGTTGCATTCAGTGACATTTGAAGTCAGGGTAGGGAAATGTCAGGGGTAACTCTTGTCTGCCCAATCTCCCAATGTTGTCTTGTTTCCGTGCACACATAGCAGGCTGTATCTCTGAGTAAGTGTAGTAATGGAAGGATCTTGACTTTCACAACAGTTAATGTACACATGTCACCACTCGCCGCCTCAAGTCATTCATGGAATTGGTAAACAACTCGAAATGTGTAATGGAAAGGGGAGAGGTTAGGAGTAAACACTTTTTGTCCAGTCCACCAAGGTAACTGTGTTTTGCGTAACCAAACAGCAAATCACGGATCCAAGTAACTTGCGAAGGAATCCGGGACGCAACTTTTAGTAGTATCGTTTTGAACATGTTCCCACGAACGCACCGTCAGCCGTTTAGCCGGGAAAAATAGACACGAGGAATCTTGCGCACCTTGCTATGTTATATGTATACACCTCTGTGTTTTCGTATTTTCGTTGCTTCTGCCATTTCAACCTTACACTGTTTGTGCGGATGACTTTTGCCTTGTGCCATTCACAGCATTTCTTGCAAATTATTCCGTTTTAGGCCGTTCAGTCCTTATTGCAGGGATTACTTGATTCACTCGATGGCGTTGATTTGATTGCTCCACTGAGGAGGACTACCAATTTGTGCGCAAATTCGCTGGCACGATTGGACTTTTTGGACGCTCTCAATTTTACCAGTGCTATTATCCAGGTGCGTTTTTTTAACCCCCTCAAGTACGGCCTAACTTTTACTTTCATTTCTTGATTGCACGCGATGTGTTCGACTCATACTCCCTAGAACCATGGCGTTTCTTATCTACAGGAATCTCACCGCTTCTCACGCAGCTCAATATTGATAGTAGTCTCTTACTGTTTCGTATTATGCGTCCATATCCAGGTGGATACGATCCCCGTATGTCTCCTTGTTACCCAACGTTGTACGCAGATGGCAGCGACATGGACGGTTCGATTGGGTCGCTTCTGTCCTATTCATACTGGACTTTAACGTGATGCCTTGGTTTGCACACCTCAGCAATCTATTGAGCTGTGCTAGGTGACACTTTCTCTTTTATTGCCACTCAGACCAGGTCGGTAAATGATTATAGGCCGGACAAACTCATCCTGCTGCCCCTAAAGTTTCGAGTGAGCATGGCTCCTTATTCCTTAAAACTGACTCCCTGTAACCCACTGCCGAAATTTGACGGCCTTGTGGTCAGGTATTTGAACCAAGCTTTTGTTGGGGTCCCTAATCGTTCTCATTATTCCGACCTGGGTAACTTAACAGTATCTTGTCCATGCAGTACCATTAACTTTTCCTCAAACAGCTTCTTGATGCTTTAGAACCCACAGCACCGAGCGGGGTGGATAGGGGTTGAAACTCTACTGCTCGGACCTTCCCGTATTTTTACCTTCTCACTTCTGCTTTCTCATCTCTACCATGCTGTTCCAGTTTCACTTTTAGCCACCCCCGTTTACAGCCCTCGATTCTTTGCCTCCCCGCTTTTCTTGCTAGCAACGTGTCTTCTACCTTTTGCTCACACGCAATCGCTGTGCATCACTTCTACTCTGTCGATAAATGCGTGTCTAGTCATGACTACAACCTCCGCTCATCCGCTCGTATTTGGAGCCTCCAATCCCCGTTTAGACGCACCCGCCAACGTGAGAAAATAAACAGCGCTTACCTGAACATTATGGACTTTATCGATCGACAGTAAGCAATGGTTACGTTTAGATGGAGGTGATCCTCCCTTTGTGGGATCGGTTTCTCAGTACCACGAGAACGCGTACCTCATTATTGTTCCTCGCGAGCACTACAGGCACAGCAGTCATAGGAGGGTGAAGTGCTTCCCACCAATCTCGGATCAGCGATTGTGCGCATATCAATCACATCACGATCTGTTACTTTCGGAGGAGTTGTGCCTAAAACTGTCGTTCGACTTGTAGCAGAAGCGTGGCATCCAGTCATGCACTGTACTTTTTCTCAGTCAATCCCATCTATAGCGCTTTCAACTTCCTCCTTGAGGAAATCGTGTTCCTACATAGATCTCTTAAGATGATCCTTAATGATATCAAATCGCATCCAACGAGCGAAAACATTCCTTAAAAATGCCGATAATATAACAGACGAGTACACAGAGTGGCATACCATCGACTGATTTGGGGTTGGTGACTTCAATGAACAGTAGCTCTTGGGGACGTTTGCGCCCACTGCAAGCAAGTTGTTAGCGTTACGGGCCATTATAAGAACGTTATGGAGGTACATGATTTTCTTCCGGAGGAAGTTGATAGCGCTACAAATGCAACTAATTTAGAAAAGGCATGTTATGTGCCGATGTATGGAGTGCGTTTCGATGACTACGGTGTGCGAGCATGGGCGGCATCCAACTCGCGAGTCCAAATCTTTTGAATACGTATCAAAGTGCATTGGCATTCAGATTAAGCAGATCATTGGTCGCATATGCTTCAGCCTTTATTACAGCAGATACGCTTTCATGAGGCAAATCGCATTACCAGCCTGGGCGATGGGTCTCCAAGCAGTCACTGGAACTTCTTAATGCTCGCCACAACATTCCGGCTGTGAGCGAACACGATGACACTCGCAAAAATCTCAGGGCAAAACTGCGTGCTAACCTGAAGAGAAACTGTGAGGCCTAGTAGTCTCATCGTGCCTCGGAGAGGGGAACGACCGCTGCTCTTGGTAACCTTCGGACGTTATTTTGTCTGATACGGGAAACGGGCTGCAGAAGACCAGGTTTTATCGAGACTGTATTCAACAAAGGTGAACGAGTGTGTCAAAATGCTTGGAGTATTGGGCTGGGCACCTTGAAACGCGATTTAATTGGGCCGGAAATACCAGATTCGCTGTCGGTCACTGATCCTCCTGTTTCCTGGACTGTCCCATTAGACCCACTCTTGCGCAGAGGTCGAACTTGAGAACGGTCTTTTGCAAGACAGTTTGACTAGACGATTTTACTCCCGCCGTCTTCATTTTCGAGGGATCTGCACGGTTTCTTTTTGAGACGGTGGGGGCAGGAAACGTTCGTAATTGGCCACAGCTGCTCGGTCATGGTCCCTGTTTTCATAGGGGCTAGAATTCAAGCCGAAATTTAGTTATTGTTGCCTTCAGCTAGCTCTCGATCACCTGTATCCGTATGGATAGTCGCTCACCGGCACTTGCACTCATTTCTGTGGCGTTGGTTAAGCGGACTAATTTTTCCTTGCGACAATCAATCGGTTTCTTGTCCTTACTTCCTGCGTCCCTTTTTCTCCACTCTATGGTCGCAGCTGATTGATCCTGCTCGCTAGGCACTGGATGGCAAATTCACCTATTGACTGTGAACGCTTGTGACTAAGCTATATCCCCATATAGACCTGGTTGGCTTGCAGAAATGAACGTTGTTGTTGCTCGTGTGTACGATAACTAACCTGCAGTCACCGACAACTGTGGATGAGTTTTCATGAAATCGTGGCTTATCGACCAGTAACGAATGGTAATAAACTAGTGGGCCAAATCACTGCTGTCTCATCGTTAGAGGCAACTTGAAGCACTGTTCTATGGCACTCGAGCTGAGCCTATTACCCTCCAATCTGTTGTCTCCTGTAATTGCGGCGTTTTGCAGTACTGAATTGTATGATCTTTTAGTATGAATGGCCCTCAAGCCGTTTTGTTCCCACATTTAATCGCTGACATATATGCATTAAAGTCTCTGCTACTTGAAGAAATTGTAGCCCAACAGACAAGTAACACAACTTCTGACGCCACGTTGGCACTGGCTTTATTTTATGCTCATAAGGTCTAATTTTCAGAGCTCGAAGAAGCTTAGCGATTTCGTATACTCCTATTCTACTATTTAGTAACCATGGCTCGTTCGTAAGCTAAGTCTTAAAGCCGCTGACGGATGCGCGTATTGAGAAATTCAACTATCTTCTGCACTGTTTTTCTGTGTACTTGACAATGGGGCAATTTCTTCCAACATCTTACTAGTGACTTATCTGTTTGACAAGCCCCGAGGTTTGAAGGAACTGCAACACAGCGTAGCTTAGCAGACCAAGCATTCACACAAGCCAAAGCACGACGTTCCGGCTCCGTCTCGTTGGGTTGACGCTTCGAGATCCGGTTTGCCGTTGCTCATTAGACGATTTTATGAGAACGTCATTATTATTTATTGCTGCTACTTTAATGCTTTCATTAACTTCACAGTCCTCCTTTATCATCTTCCTCCTGTTTCATCTTGTTCCGTGTTCTACACAGAACTTTTTGGTTTACGTTTCTTCGCCTTTCTGCCGTACTCGATCCGAATCAGTTGTTGCACTTTTATTTCCAGTACCTTTCCGACGTTCTGTTTTGGCATCCACTTTGCTGTCGATACATTCCATGTTATGTTTTCATTTCTGGTTTATCTGGAACGTGTGTGTGTGTGTGTGTGCATTTCATGACCGATTTCATGCTCATTCGATCCCTTTATCGCTGTTGTGCATTGTTCAAATGTGTTCGGAACAAATTTGTGCCTGTGTTCTGTGTCACGGCATCGGTTTACTGTCTCACATGCAACCACTGTCTTTTTCAGACCGATTCGCCAATCACAGAAATCGATAATCTGAATGAATTTGTGTCCGATTTGCGAAGTCTCAACATGGTAAGACTTGTTCTCTGTCTCTGTTTTTTTTCCTCGTTAGCTTCTTTAGTTTTACTGTCCCCTGTCCTCAGTCTCCCTAAGTTCATATTTGCGCACCCGCTAATTTCCTTTATTCAAGAAACCCATTTCAAGAGGTTGCACTGATCTCGGCGATTTGGTCCTACTTCCCCACCGCTAATCTGGTTTCAGATTTTCGTTCCGCTCTACCGTTGAGAATGTCGCACTTACATTTTTTCTGGCACTTGTCCCAAAAACAGACCAATTTTGTATCAGTCTAAACATTTTATTACTTGGAATTGATCATACCCACTGTTCCTATTTCCCTTGTTTATGTTCTTTCGGTCGATCACCTTCGCACTCTAAGCATGTTAATCACCTCGATGCACGATTGTCCTGAATTAATGCCACTTTCAATTGCATTTTTGGATCCCAGCACACCGCACTCCCCCGTAATGTGCATTATAACTTGAATCTTGTGCGTAGCTTCCGAAGTATACTCCGTTGGCTCTCTAATTCCTCATTTCTAAGCCATAATGTATTCCATATCAAATGCAGTATTAATATCGGTTTTTTTAATCTCGAACAAAGGCCAAGCTCGTTCCGCACATTGACAATCTTGTCACACATGTTGTTTCACTGGACAATATGCGCAGTCAAGTTCGCCAGCTGTACGTCAAGCTAAACAATCTGCCCGGTCAAACCCGACATTTGCGGAGCAAATTGACGGAATTCAACGATACTTTGGCTAACTCGGTCAAACAAGTAAGTGCTTTTGCTTCTTATTTCGTTCTTTGCCTCCATAGTTCTCCTTGCCATGTCCTCACCTGTTTTCCTCACAACACTATTCACATTTTGTCTCAAAGTGTGGGTCTAGGTGTACAGTCTATTTGACAACCGGCTGTGTCTACATTTCTCTCATCCCTATCGGCTCCTATCGCTGTCGCCCGTGTAATGCATTCTCAGCTTTGTGCCTATCACGGTGAATAATAATAATAATAATAATAATAATAATAATAATAATAATATTGTGTCAGCTGTACGCTGTAACGGCGCTTCGCTGCCGCGCGACCACCACCAGTGGCGCGCGGGCTGTGTATACCGCGAGGACGCCCACCCCTAAGCGGATTCGAACCGGTGACCTTATGGTTGCAAAGCAAACGTGCAGACCACTCGGCCACCGGCCGACTTAAATCACGGTGGCCGATCTCATGATTGGGAACAGTAGTGTTATGTCCACTGTGCCATCGTAGCATCTTTCGTCGTTACATCATGGGTGGAAACACGTTACTATCTCTGTACAGCAACTCAACATCTCATTAGATCAATCAGAATATGGAAATGAATTTTGGAGTGTGCCATTCTCCTCGCCGGTGAGTGTTCCATCCCAGACCTGAGAGCTATATCAATTCAGATCACTCCACGACATGATCCATCCTATGACCCACACCGCAAAATTCGGGTCAGCACGGACCGAAGAGTGTCATTTTGCAATCTTGGCACCCGACTGCGCATCATGGATCGATGATCCACTTGTAAGCTGCCAAACCTTCATATCTCAAATACCTTTTTCTACGTACTTGAGAGATTTGCGAATCTATCGCTCCTGTATATCAGCTTTCAGTGCCCTATTGGTATATTGGGCTATATTTTTCTGCTTTTGGCTTCGACATCTTAGGATCCCGTCATGATACTCCTGTCGAGACTACCGATTTTGTGGCTTGCATCTCCTCTGGCGTTGTCACTTGCTCATTGACAGCCCACCGCCACTGTTTTACGGTTTTACGGTGTCTCAATTGTTCCCCTCTCTCAAACCCTTTTATCTATTTATGACGGCTGTTTGACAGATTGGTTGTCTGTTAGAGAACATGTTCAATTATGCTATGATAGCTATCACTCCATTCCATATAGCATTTCCATCGAACACTTCCAAAAGCTTATTTCATATTCTTCCTGCAGTAAGGCGGGTAATTTTAAACAACTTATTGCATCCGTCGCCTACAAAGAAGGTAGATGCCATGGTACCGAAGTTTTACCACCTCCATCCACACCATTACGGTTCCAAATAGCCTTACCATTGGAAGCTGTATGTCTTGACAAAGTAACATTTGACTACGTGGCGATTTTTCATCAAATGGGTAAGCTTCGATGCTACCCTGTTGATGTACCGTTCCCGGGGTCACTGCCTCCCTTTGTTTCCGACTTATATTGCAGGGCTACCAGATTTTTGACAGCCATCGCTGATCTTCCTACGGAACACATTTCTGAAATGTCCTGTTATCTAACGTCTGCTTTTTTGTTTTTGCAAACATGATATGCTGTACCTTCTTCACTTTGAGTTCACCGTGACTACACACTGAAGCTATTTATAACAAACAATTGGGACACGGTTCGATTAGAAACTTTTTCCCTGCCTGACTACAGTCTTGTTACATTTTCCACCACGCTGTAATGATCGCGTAAAGTCCTCCATTTTGGATCCTGTACTCACTCTAACTAAGCTTCTCGTTCGTGGAATGACAACCAGAGAGTACTTACCGATCCTGTGATTTTTCTCTTTTGTCAACTTTATCTATGAGTTAACATGCATAATCCCCTATAGATGGAGAAACATTCACAGACATTACAAGCCATTTGTTCATTTGTTACTTCTAATGTAGGTTCTCTATCAAGTTGGATACGCTCGGCGTTTATGCGTCAGAGACTTTTCGCTTCACCTTCTGAACCGACGTCACTGCTGAAGCGTTGTATACCAGTTCGCTAAGCCCATTCGAGCCCTGATAGCTGCATCTTGTGCGTTTCAGCTCAACCGATCGTACCATTGTGACTAGTTGATTCGCTTGTCTACTTGATCAGTTGGGACACACTGGGTCGCAATTTCTTTATTTCTTCGGGGCTTCAGTGCAAACAGGTTACCGATCAGATGTGAAGGTGGATTGGCTGCCTTATCATTTACACCGAAAGTCCAAGTGAAAGATCATTGTATGCCCTATTCCGAAACGTAGTCATAGGAGGCGCAGCAGTTCAGGGCGAAAAGAGTCATCAGCTCATGTTGAGTAACTTAGCGCCATGGTTTGTCTTCCACGATGGGACAGCACCAAATCTGTTCGTTGTTTTGTCGCGCTCGTTTCGGGCCACGTAGTTCCTGGTCGACGTGTTGTGGAGTGATTAGGACTCACCTACTGTTGGTGGCAGTTGCAATTTTATCTCGGAACGTATTCGAAAAACTGATACTCATTTCTGCAACGCTGTCATGCTCTCTTATGCCTATCCGCCGGCCAACCTAAGACGGATCGCGCATTCACAGTTCCGCGCTTAGCGTAGCACCCGCTACCTTTATGACTAAAACTGCTAACTCAAGGTCTTCCAACCAAGTTCTTCGAATGCACGTTAGTTTGTCGAGTTATCTCACTCCTCATGTTTTCGGCACTTGCTAGATACCAAACGCGGCCAAGGTCACCCTGTTCTCGCAGCGCACGATCGGAAATCACCGTGTGCTCGCAGGTCTCTATCGTCGCATTTTTCTTTCAGCCTCCTTCCTTGCTTTCTTTCTGTATTTTGCAATCACACTAGCGCACTGCGGTACATGAATTCTCAAAGCAATTTCTATTTTTCGTCAATGTCGTCCTACATTCACCTGTAATACGTTTGTATTCTGTCTCATAAACACGCCCACAACACAATGGCTTTTTGACTCGGATTTTCTTTGCTGCAGGCATACTATTTACATTTCTATTGTCACAGATTCAATGACTAAAAGGGTTTAGGTCACCGATGCCTTGTGTAGTGTCGAGAATCCGTTTCGACTGCTTGTTTCAGCAGATTAATTGTATTCTTCGCAAACACTTATAGTCAGTCCACATTGATGACACTGGTCACACTGTTCCACGCAGCACCCCTATCTGACCTTACGTGCTATGATCACACTGCCTCAATAGGCGATTGAAGCTTAGAACAGCTACCTCGGCACTTCCCATCTGTGGGACAACTACTTCTCTAGGGGATTCGGTTTTCCTAACTCAGTGCAGCAGTTCGAGTCAAGTATATTCCAGTCAAAATAGGCTTTATACACCAGGATATGACGCGGATTGCTCACCGCCTTCATCCACAGAAAATAGCAACCATCGTTCGTCGCCTGAACCCGAAGAAAGCTCCTGGAGCGGACGAGATTCCAGCGGAAATCTACCAGCTCTCCTTGACAATTTGCACGTGCTCTTCTGCTGCTTATGCACCGACAAACTGTAGCGATGACAAGGTAAAAGACGACTTCTATCGCCAACTGAACGAGCTCCTTAGCCACAGAAGATGCTCGGACACTGTAGGGCTGGCCGGGAGTCTGAACACTCAAGTTGGAAAGTTGTCCACTGATGAGCTGCATCTGGGCGGCCAACATGGTGTAAGCTCCCGTAATGATAACGGTGAGCGGTTACTTCATTTGTGTGAGAATGCTCGCTTATTTTTTGCGAGCACTAATTTCCGACACAGTACCCGCCGGAGGGTGACTTGACGCCCACCAGCCTTGGACGCAAATTGATCACATTGCACTCAGTTACCGCTGGAGAGGCTGCATCCAGAACTGTCGCTCGATTTGGAGCACATGCGTGGACACCTGACCTGCGGATGCGCTTTGGCGGACGCCCAAGACGACGCTGTGACTACATTGACATCAGCCAACTGGCGAAGCCAGTTGTTCTGAATGCCTATCAAAGTACGCTATCATGCGAGTTGGATAAACGCTCACTGGATGCAATTGAAGCTCACTGGTCTCATGTTCACCAGACCCGATTAGCAACAGGCAAATCCTCATGTGGTATGTCTAATCGCCAACATGGACACGTCTCTTCACAGTCTCTGGAACTTATCGATGCTCGCCGGTATATTCCATCTGGAAGCGAACACAATGAAACTCACAAAGAGCTCCGGGCAAAACACCGTGCTAGCCTGAAGAGAGACGGCGAATCCTGGTGGTCTCATCGTGCATCAGAGATGGAAATGGCCGCTGCCCTTGGTAACCATCGTAAGTTATTCCGTTTGATACGGGAAACGGGCAGCAGGAGACCTAGTGTTAGTGAAACAATTTGTGACGAGAGTGGACAGCCTATTCACAACTTGTCAAAACGCTTGGAGCGTTGGGCTGAGCACTTTGAAAGGCAATTTAATGGGCCGGAATTGTTAGGTTTCTCTGCAGTCACTGATCGCCCTGCTCTGTGGGCTGTCCCTTTAGATCCCCACTCTCGCTCAGAAGTCGAAAGTGAGATCGAATTGCTGATGTTAAATAAAGACGAGGGACCTGTTGATCTTCCTCCAGCCTCCTTCAAATTCGAGGGACCTGTTCTTGTGGATGGTTTACACGAATTACTAGTTGAACTGTGGGAGTAGGAAACTGTCCCAAGCGATTGGAGCCGCTCCGTCATAGTCCCAATTTTCAAGGGGGCTCACGATCGGAATGCGGCAGCTATAAAGGAATCAGTCTGATCTCCATCGCCTCCATAATTCTTCACAGACTGACTGGCACTCATGAAAGCCAGATTCGTAAAGAGCAAGCAGGATTTATCGAGGTCGTGGCTGCATTGACCACAACTTCACTTTGCGTCACTCGTTGGAGCACCGTCACGTATAATGCCGGCCCACCGTTGTCATGTACCTCGATATCAAAGTTGCATTCGATTCGGTGGATAAACTTGCACTTTGGGACTGTCTACTCAGGAAAGATTTACCTGAGAAATATGTAAATATTATCCGCGCATTATATGCGCGTAGCACGG